GAGTCAGAGCAGAGGTGGCACTCGTATATCCTTGAAGAATCAAAAACAAAACTGCAAGGATAAAAAGACCAATCAGCTTGTGCAGAAGAAAACCTGGAAATATCCAAAAGAAGAACGGTAAAATTCTTTGTGTTTTTTTTCCCTTGGAATAGTTTGCTCTCGACAAAGTAAAACAAGGTTTAAACAAAATATATTTCTCAGAAGATGCAAGATTAGCTCCTGTTGTGAACTCCCTGTACTTGGATATGGGGGGATTTGCAAAGAGAAGATGTATGTCCATATCAAACAAATATGCCAAATCAGCTCTCCTTTCGCACCAGAGACTTAACATTACCTGCTGCTTAAAACTACAGCTTAACCTCTTGAACTCTAGAGCTAAGGAGGGGAAGAGGTAAGAGCAGGAAGTTTCCTGACCCCCAACCAGTAAGTATTACAATTTAGATTACTGAAATACTGAATCAGTAATATAGGCCAGCTATTAAGATACTAAAGACAAAGGAAAAAAGCCTAATGTTTTGAGTACTCTAAAATATCCTCAATAGTAATTAAGAAAATAGAGAGACCTATGCAATAGCACTGAGCTCTTCCGAATACCAAACCACTCTTCAGTGTCTTCAACAGGCACACCCAAAAATCTAAGTACTGTCCAGTGATTAATATATTGTGCTGTTTACATTAACATTACGTTATTCATAGTAGTACCCATATAGTATTCTTACTGCAGTTGACAAGGACTGTTCGAGTTAACAGTGCTGCGTAAGACCACTTCTCTGATCTGCAAACATAGTAAGATACATTATCTTCCGAATTATGTTAGCTCTAGAGTTAACCACAGGATGAAGAGATGCCATCTCCGCAATGAACCTCATTTTAGCACAAGGTAAACATACTTCCCCCACATCAGCTAGTCTCACAGCATTAGTGCTGTGTTGTGATTGATTACCAACAGGGTGTTGCTGAGATATGGATTTGTATCTCAGCTTTTTATCACTATGACTTGCAAAAGGCAGTTCCTTATTTACAGACCCTACCTGTATTAAGTGACATTATTAGGTACTACTTCTGTTTAAGTGACACAAAGGCTTAGCATATTGGTGGTTTATGACATACAAGCTGTTTTAATCTGATGATTTACCCCTCACTTTTTCAATTTGTAAATAGGAGCTGCAGCACAAGAACATATGGTACTGAAGAAATTAAAGCTAAAGTAAATGGCATTAAAACAAATTCAAATATAACAATACGATACTTAATCTGAATTATAAACCTGGATCTGTATTATATTTTTAAAAATAGGAAATAAAACCCCAAATATGAAAATTAACCTTTTAAATGATTTTTTTTAAAAGACCAATTCAGGATTTTACTGTGATCAAGTAATTAGATTTTGTTGTTTAAATGAATAAACTTCTAAAGATATTTTTAAATAACAGAAACTAGATTTGAATACCATGTTCCTTAAGAAGTATTTATTTACCTTGTTAACTTTTGGTTTTGTACCGCATTTCTTCTGATACAGTAAAAATATTTAATGTGTTTTAAAATAAGCATTTACATAAATACACTTAGTTATATCTATCAACATTTGCACTGAGCACAAAACCCACAGTGTCCAGAAAAATCATCAGCCTAATGCTCATATTCCATACCACAGGTCTAAAAAGGGACAATGAAAAGAAAACTTCCATTTTCCCAACTTCTGTAACAGTTTATACATATGATAACAGCTTACTCAAAAAAGGAATCTCATTCTCCTTTTCATGTTAATAGGAAGTTTTCCTCATAATTATTCTATGGACAAGCTCAAACCTATGGCACATGAAGTATCATGTACCATAAGGGGCCCAAAGCAATGAAGTTCTTAATTTAGTTAAATTAAATTTAAGCACATGCTTAATTTATACTAAGCAATTCAGTATGTGGCCTGCTGGATTACAAACTGATGGGACATTAGAAAGTTTTTTGGTACAGCTTTGCACATTGGCTAAAATAGTTTTTCTCATAACAACATTATCACTTTGTATAAGCATAGCAGCAGAAATATTTTTATACCAGCATAAAGACTTTCACATAACTGTCACTGCTATACAGTATTTCTAGTCTACTGAAATATTTATTTTAAGAATTTACTCAATTTAATTGCTGTATGTTTTTTTATTTTTCATTTTTATTAGTTTTGAAGTTCTTTTAAAAAGCTACAGGTATCTACTCCAATTGTTTGCTATATGAAAGTGAGTATCTCATCTGTGAAATTTTAAGTTCAGAGTGCAAATTCTAAACAGTTCTCCATTATCGTATTGATATACAGAAGCCATCCTGAGAACCATATTCATGAATGAAAAAAGAATGGAAGCAGGACCTGATTTTAGAATTCTCTTATGCTTCAGGAAAAGCAGCACATAAAATAGTACTTCTGAGCCTAAATTAGCTTAAGTTCTGTAAAGTACGCCAAAGACACCAACAAAGGATGAAGCAGAGGTAATAACTGCCTAAATCAATATTTCTGGCACCTGATGCTTCACGTACTTACTGTAAGAAGTTTACAAACATCTATTTACAAGCATCTATTTGCTATCACTCCCAAAACAAGAAAAGAAGTTACTCAAGTTGTCATAAAAGCAAATGCAATATACTCTGACCTTACACACCTTTGAGTCCCTACATTCAAATACCAGTTACCAGATTTCTCATTAAAAAGCCACTACTAGCCTAATAGAAACAACAAAACTCATATGACAATTTCTAGTCCTTGCTCAAAGCGTGCCTACGTTTATACCTTTCTCTGACAGCCAGACACTCCAAGCTGCAGGCACCACTTCTGCTCATTTGGGATCCTAGCCAAAACTTTTCCTCAGAGTGTCTACAGTCTTTCTTTCGAAAACCTAACTCGGGTTTATTCTTTTCAAGGAAGAACCAACAAAACAAACAGCCAGTCTCTGTATATCTGCTGCTGCTACTTTGAAGAATTCAGTATTGGAAAGAAGAGAAATTTCATAGCATTCACTCAAATAAGGGACTCAATTAGACCAGTACCTAAACGAATACGTTATCAGTTGCCCTCCCCACTCCCAAACATGAGCAAATTACTTAGGGAATACTCCAGTGCAAGTTACGAGTATAAAATTACTCGGTGAATACTCCAGTCTAAGTTATGAGTGCAACGTGCAAATTTCTGTGTTGAAAATACTCTCTTCTTTAAAGGAAGTAGCTTCTGAACAGATGGAAAGCTCCATCTCTTTGACAACCACTAAAGACATGAGGAAAACGGATCTGTAATAGCAAACTTCAGTATTTCCATTTAGATCATTTCTTCCTCTGGATGCCTGTTACAGCATAAGAACTAAGAGAGTTTGCATGACACTTCTTTGCTTTATTTCCACACATTAGCCTTAAAGAAAAATGCATTTAGGAAAACAGGAAATGGACTACTGTATTCTTCATCTTCTATTTCTTCTCACATTTTATTTCAAAATTGAAGACAAGAAAACTTATGCATAGGACAGAAAACATTCCGCTAGACAGTTGTGTGATTCTCTCAGGGTTTCCAGAATAGCTGACATCCTGCTCAGCACAAACCTTTCCTGAACTTCCTAAGGCAAGTGAGGATCAAGATGCTCAGAGAAACTCAGTTTGTGTACACAGAATTCGGGTTTCCATTTCAGGCCATTCTACTCTAGGAAACTCTTTTCACCTAAATTACTACTCACATCAGGAACTAGGAAAAATTCTTCAAGTTAGTAAGAAAGCTGAGGGTTTTTACTCAGTTGAATAGTAAGACGATTTGATTTATTAAACATATGACTAAAGATTCTGTCCTCCCCTTTAAGATGCAACAAAGAATGATTTCCTTTTCACAGTCCAACAGAGACAGGAACAAAAGGTCCCATGTTGGTGTCACCAGATCATAAGGGCAAATTTGAGGCAGGTGCCTGAAATGTCTTTCCTGAACACTGGAACAGAAGAAACAGACACAATTGTGACAGGAATTTTGCCATTGATTTTAAAAGCGCAGATTCCACCTCAACTCTAAGTTAACTCAACTGCTTGGCAAATGAAGGAATAGTACCTGAAGGTTTGTTGGTGAAGTTAGCAATCTTTATGGCAGCTAAACTCTTAAATGACTCAACTATCATAAATAGTAGGTGGCTGCACGGAGCAGTCCACAAAATTCTCTTACCTTCACAGTACAAGACTTTATCTACAGGACAGATGAAAGCAGAGATTTCTTCTCACGCTAATGATGATGAAGTGGTAAGAAGGCAATAGAATATCTTAAAGACTCAAAACAACTGTGCAAAACCTGATGTCTCCACAGGGTGCTGAGCAGAGGTAATGGTCAAACAGGCTTTTGAAGAAAAAAATACATTTTTTGTGATGTTGATTTCTGGCATGAGCAAAAGAAGTTGCTGAAAATCTTTTGTCATAGATCTTCCCAAACTTCTCCTGTTAAGTCTGTCTACGTAAGGGCAAGTGAGCTTTAAGGATAATTTTTCCTTTCCATTTCATCTTGTTATCTGACTTTTTTGACAAGTTAGGAAAGGTACTGCTTTTCCAACCATACTCAGAAAACTAAATTAAAATATTGTTATAAGCATAATTTTGAAAGCAAAATCCTCAAAGCTAATGCAGAGACAATTTTTTCACTTTCTAGTGTTTAAAATACAGAAACAGGCTTGCTTTAAGACCAAGCCCTTGAGTCCGACATTTGTACAGTACTTTATACAGGGAATTTTAGAGAGTTTTTCCAGGGAAGATGACCTAAGCAAAGGGCAGAGCAAAAGTATGATCTGCCTACAGTTCCTACAGAGACAAAAGACATCAAGAAAGTCAGCTTGCTAGGAACAGAGTTTCTGAGATACAACATTATACTGTAAACATAAAAAGAATAATTTATGAACATCATATTTATGATAACACTCAAACATTGCAAGTCCTTTAGAGACTACCTGGTCCTACTTAAGTAATCATTAATTTATAAAGTAAGAAAGTCTAATACTTACATAGCTGTGGCTCTTAAGGAAATCTGAAGGGTTGCTTGTGCAGACTTTATCCCCTTCCAAGCCAATTACTCTTTTACAGATATTTGATTTGGGGTCATGTGGGCTTTTCACAATTACAATATCTCCTCTATGAGGGGAAAAACAGAAACAAAAGACAAACAAACAAACGAGAACTCTAAATATTAAAGAATATTTGGCTGCATACATGTGTATCAATTTGTGTGCTCTAAAAATATTACCTTATATTAAAAATACTTGTTTCTGCTGAAAATTCTTGCCTACAGTTTTGGTTTTACTCAGTGTATAATTCTATGCACATTGTCTTTTAAATACATTTGGAGAGATTCATTTTTGTTGTTTGAATCATATATAAAACATGTAATGCTAATTTTAATTGACAATGCTCAATGAAATTAATGCCAATTTACCTTGGTGTTCTTGCTACATACATATGGAACAGAACAAACTCCAAGGTCCTATATGCTTAGCAACTCCTGCAATTCTCTCTCCAAATATTATTCCTTCTGTGGAACCTCAAACGTCTAATCTGAGTTTTGTAACACCTTATATTACTTTTGCCCCCTGATCATACGTATGAGATTGTAGAGTGAAACAGTCTACGAGAAAACGTGCAAAGACCCTAAGCCTGCTGTGCTCTGTAACACAGTAATAAGATGACAGCTGATAAACGGTTCTTAAAGCACTTGCTGGTCACTCTTCTACCGACAGCTTGATTTAAAGTTAAATCAGAATTGCCTAGAGATGAGAAGTCACATGCAGTGTAGTTTCACATGAATAGAACTGGTTTAGAAAAGCATGGTTAATTCTCCATTTTCTGGACAATGCTGTTTGCTAAAAGCGAAAGAATTACTCTGTCTTTCCTCAGAAAGAGACAGAGGAGATTTATGAAAAATTACAATTAGAAGCAAAGGCATATATGAGAAATAAAGGATGAATAGATTTTAGTTATTGGCAGGCTTTGGCAAACTAAAGGTAAACTCCAGTCCGAACAAAGGAGCATACTTTTGAATGCAATAAAAGTGGCGGCTAAGGTTCTCCGAAAAGACAATATCAGAATTTTGAATTGTTGGCTCCATTGATGGTCCAGAACACTGCAAATTAAAAATAAATGAAAAAAAATTACTATTTGCCAATTATTTCTTATCCAAAATACATGAATGTTCAGATTATTTGCTAATAAATCAACAAAGGCATAACGCAAAAAACAATCTAAAAAATACATGAAATCCTCCAAGGAACATTTTATACATTTAAAAGGCAGCAAGGACAGCCTCTAAAGCTCTTAGCTTTCGTATAGCTCTATACTAGTCCATGATTGTTTACAAACTGTGCTAGGTTCTAACAGTCCCCCAGGAATCATGTCAGCACCTCATCTGCAGGAAAGTATTCGAAGCAGCACTCGGGGTTCTGCCAGTTTACCCCTTTCTTCAGCCTCTGGGAAAGGGAAGCGTCACAGAAGCTGCAAGAGCAGCTCGCAGCCAAAATCCACCAGAGCCAGGAGCGATATCTGCTAGGTTTAGAACTGTATGTGTGGGGCTGCCCAAAACAGCTAGCGCCCTGCCTGGAGTCGGAAACAACACGTTTCTTAAGGCACTATTTGTGACTCCAGTCTTCCTGAAATAAGTACTTTCTGCAAAATGCTTCATGGTGTTGTTTCCCAATGGCTTCAGTGACTCCTGAAACAATATCTTGGCAAAAAATACAAAAGCCTAAAGCTGGAATAACTTTTCTAAGGCAGGCGAGGACCTGCCTTCAAAAAACAAGGATTCACTAAACACATTATTGCTTTAAATTCCTTTGTAAGTTTTCAAAAGTGAATAAAACGAAAATATGGGCATTATCACATACAACAGTTTCAGTATTACAGTGTTTTCTTTTTAAATATCATGAAAATGAAAAGTTACCACAACAATTCCTCCAAGGTACTCAAAGGCACAATGCGCTATGCAGCCATATTGCACAGTATACCCAAGAAATCGAAAGGTTTTTCCTAGGACATTGAGAAACATGGTACAGTATTACGTCCTTCAGCTGATTCTAGTCTGTATTAAAACAGAAGAACATAATTCATTTGATAACAAACAATTTAATGTTTGTAAAACTATGTTCTGTATTTTAACAACCATGCAAGGGTCAATCATTTTAAAAGAGCAGTGAATACAAACAACAAAATAATCCAATATATCTGAAGATGCATATACTTTACACTAAAATGCCATCAAGAAGTTTTTGATTTACTACACAGACACTTCCACATATACAATACTTGACCCCTTCCCCAGCTCCTTACTGGGAGTAAGAGCTGAAACAAAGAAAACTTCTCAAGACCGGAGAAATGAATGGGAGGGCACGGTGTCTGCTCACTCAGCTGGGCTTCTGCTACTCAAGTCTGCAGACAAGCTTACCTGCCACATGTCTAGATATCTGCAGTAGTTACCAGAACATCCTCCCCTCCACCAGGCTTAGATGAATGGAAACTGGAAAGCTGTAATCACATCTTTAAACGCAAGCTTTGACTTTCTGTTTGGATTTCTACAACATACTGTAAACTCAGGTAGTTAGCCATACTGGAGCTTCCAAAGCAAGGAAAAAAAGCAAAGAGTAAAGAAACTCTGACTACCTAAAAACAGAGAAGATATGAGGGGATATGTCGCATTCAGTTGTCCTTTATCCAATCAAATATGAATGGGGCAATTGGAATGAAGCAAAAACAGAGACAGCACACAATATTCATAAATTAAGCCGCTAAAACATATTTATCTGTTCGCAGCCTTGATGACTGCATGACTGTATGTACAATCACGGACAACAGAGGCAGCTGCAACAGCAATAGCAGCAAGAACAGGGCCTGTCTTGTCTCCTTGTGTTCTCTACTGCATGTACAATAAACACAGCACTGCAGCCAGGGGCATAAAAATAGCTAGGGTTCATTCTCTGCCCAGAGAATTCACCCCAGATGACTGGCAGCTTATACTACAGATATCAGTGATACAGTCGAATGGCAGTACGTTAATGTCGTTTTACACAAAGATGCAGAATTAAGGACCCTATCCAGCACAGAACTCCATCCTGCACTTGAAATACTTCCCCGGATTAGCGCACATTAGATATCTTGAAGTGAAAGTGCTGACATCTGATCAAAAATAAAATTCAGTCCGAGCTGCTACCATGCAGCATCTTGGTGCTATTTTAATACATAGATATCTTTACAAAGCCTCAAGTATTTTTGAGAACTATTCAGGAGAACAACAATTAAGGTCTTTTTTATTGTAAACACCTTGAAATAGGAAATGGTGCTGTTTTATTTCTTTTTAAAAGTATGCAGATTTAAGATTACACTTGTGAGATTTGTTTTTATCATATGAACACAACGTAACTTAAATCATTGGCTTTTTCCAAGCACCCGTATTTAAAACCGAACACTCAACAGCAAAACAGAGAAGCATCAAGACTATTCAAAATGATTTGAAGGTGTTTCACAACTAAAATTAAAATCACAGAAAACAGGAATAATCAAATGGTTAACTGAAACTCTAAGTGACTTGAGAGAAATTTAAGTGAACAAAGGCTTGAAGAACTAAACAGAGCGCGGGACAAACAGCCACGTCACTGGGATGAAAACAGCTTGCCTAAATAAGGCCACATATATTAACAGAATACAGTTGTTGATAGGAATCCTAGAATTTTCACAGAGTTTTCCTTTCAGTATACTTTCATTACTACAACACTTGCATATACAAGGTCTTAAGCTTTTCTATTCTCGGATACAGTAGAGCAGCATAAGTCCTTTACCAAAGAAAAAGCCACTGTAAACATCATCTGGTTGCCACAAACAAATTTTTAAGTTAAACCCCAATGACTAACTGAAATTACTGGAATGCTAACCTAAGTAGTGTTTCTTTATCCAATTTTTATGAGAAAATAAAATAGTATTTTTAGCGCCAAATGAAGATTTCACAGTTACTCTTACTTAAGAAAGTGGAAAACATAAGTACTGAAACAAGTTTTACATTCTGCAAGATACTTGCCCCATTTAAACTCGGTAGCAGTTCTGCCATGAATTAAAACCATGGCAAGATTCCTTTCCTACTCTTTAAACTGATCAATAAAGCTCTTTAAACTAATGCAGTAAGTCAAAAAGAAAAAGCTCTACACGCAGAACGTGGCCTACTTAATAATGAAGTACAGACCTCCTATTCTGTATTTCCTGTTGTTTAGCTACTTAACATATGTGAATTTAAAAGTGCATATAGTTTCTATCTACAGCTTTCTATAACAGTTAACGAGAATTTTGCCTGAATACAATTAAAAGTAGCTTTTGTTCTTCACATTTGGTATTTATTTATAATGAGGGGGGAAAAAAAAAAAAGGCATTCTTGGGGAAGAGTATTCCCTAACCAGCTCACTTCATAGTTCGAAAAAAGATTACTTCCATTTTTTACACAAAAAAATCTCCAGAATAAGTCAATTTAAACCAATCTGAGATTCATCATTCCTAATATTAGCTAACAGTTTTCACAGCAACGAACCAAAACACAACAGAAAACAAAAAAATCTTGAACTGTTTCATTATCACGTGCAGTGCCTAGGACACTGCCACTGAAGGACACCTTGTGTAAACTGACACTGCTTCACTGTAAACGAATGCACTTTCAGCAAAAGTTATTCTGGAGATCCAGGAAAGTGATTTGCTCTTCTCAATGCAATACACTGAAAAATATGAGGTAATTCCTTGCTCTCAGAGGCAGAGTCATTGTGAACTCAAAATTATGTTTTACAGCTGATAAAAGAAAGATTGAGTGACAGCAAATCAATCAGAACTGCACAACTACTGTGAATTAATGATCACAACTGTCTCACAAGAGAAGTACACCACCAGTACTTCTTACAGCAATTGCTAGAAAGACAGCTCCATATTGTTTCTCACTGAGGCAAACAGAAAGAGACCATGCAACCATCCTATATGTCAGATTCACGCTATTCAAAAAGATTATGTTAATACATTAGGACAGTCGAGAGTTCGGCCACTTCTGGATATCATAAGTCCTATACAATTCCCTTTTACCTAAAATCTTTTGGTTGCATTACATTGGGCAGGGTACGTAGGTATTGTCGACTGCTAAACGAAATAGTAATGACAGATTCCTCATCCAGAGTAAATGTAAGTCTCTCTCATGCCAAGAGTGTTATCAGGCCTTTTTTTTTTTTTAATAATTAGAACCACAAACATCTATATGTATCTGTAAATAAGCTTCAAAATATTGCTGAATATTTGCAACTGATTTTTTTTTTCCCCGGAAGCCCAAATGATATGAACAATTTTGAATTAGGAAGGATGGATTTGTAAGTTTTTCAGGGAAACACAGGGCCCAACAGAGTGAGCTTTACCTACTACTCTAGCTGTCATGCTATAGAACTAACCAAGAGGACAGCACATGAGTTAAGTAATCTCAATTTTCTCATTAATGGGCTCTGAATTACTCGGCAATTTGCAATCTCTATTAAAATAAATTCTTAGCCCATGAGACAGAGATGTCATCGGTCTCACTTTACAAATTTGGCACAAGTGCTCAGGCTAAAGAATGATCATAATAGTTATGAAAAATACTGTTAATGTTTATATAAGGCTCAATTGCTACCACTGCTCATAAAAGTTCATTTCAAATTAAGGTATACATATAATATCTATATTATACACAGTTTGAAACTAACAAGATTAAAAAAAAGAAAGAACTCTTCAGTTAACATTAAGACACGTCCATCTTTAGAGGACATCTAACGATTACTTCACAGACCACAGAATAACTACAATTTCCAAAGTTTCCAAGTCTTAGAATCTGTAAGAAGCTGTAACTTCCTAGTTAACATGTGAATGATTCTAGTCTACTCACAGAGTAAGCCCTGTCAAAAAAAAAAAAAAAAAGGCAAAAAAAACCCTACAGAATTTGTATATCACACTTGCTCCAGTTTAAATATTAGTAAAATGGTAAATTGTTTCCTCAAAAAACTGTTTATCAGTAGGTTTTTTTAAATAATGATGCTTTATAGATTAAAAAAGGCATATGGATGAACACTTTTTCCACATCACACAATTCATTTTAATACCAAGTCCTGTCAGCAGGCAATGCCATCAGATACAACTTAAGAGCATTAAGCACAATAAAACAAATTATTTAAATCACAGGCTCCTTGAAAATTCAATGGAACTGTTGGGATAAACATCCTCATCACAGTACTATTACCATAAAACATGCTGTAATCGCTTCCAGGTACTACCTGCTACTTATTTAAAACTTTGTTTTTAAACTGAAAATAGACAGTTAAAAAAAAAATTCACGCATCCATACTTATAATGTAGAATACAATTTGGTATTTTACTGGAACAGTATAGCTTATCCCCTGTAGCAAATAAAATGCAAAATGTAATTACTATTATACGCTGTTCATTTTTCCTTATATAGCCTACGCCTTCGTCATTTGATTTGGTTTTTTTTGTTTGTTTATAAAATTAATCACAGCTAGCAGGGTAGGAATCACTTTGAGCCTCGTGAATGACATCCAAGAGATGGGAAAGGATTAGTTCTCAGTTGCTGCCAGTTATAGCGCCAGGTGGCTTTTTCTGCAGTGAAGGTGTTACTGATAATCCCATTACACTGGTACTAAATCTTGCAGACATCAAAATTATCACCAAGGTTCCTTTTCATCCCATCCTTTCCAAATGACTGGAAGTCGCTTCACCTGAAAGAAGTCAAATCCACATGCAGCTGCTGTTTTAGCAGCCAGAGGACTCCCTGAGAATGCCAATCGTGATCCAATTTCGCTGTGCTGGTGGCCCCCTATTCCCTGTCCAATAATACATCTGTTAAAAAATCCTACAGCTACAAATCAAGTTTAATCCTACCAGGGACCTCATGTTGGTCTTGTCTTCCAAAAAGGCAGCAGGTTTTGCTGTCTATCTCTGCTAGTGTCTGGGGAATACTCTTTAAATCCCAGCCCTACTTAGAAGAATAAGCTAAGGATCACAAAACATGACCTCAAAAACCCCGATATGACTATATTCTGACCCAGAGGCATTCATTCTAGGTGAAGATTAGAACTTTGCATAATAAGATTACACAGCAAGTGAATGATATCAAGGGACTATCCATATGCAGCCGCCTGGTTTTCTATAGACAGCCTGTGCTCTGCAATATGCAGTGCAGACGAAACAGAGCTTGGTCTTTCTAGCCGAAATAAAATAGATTCACATAAATTAGTTGGCCATTTCCAGATTCCTAAATCCCCTATTACATCTTTTATTGACAGCTCCTATGAGGATAGCACAAATGTTATTCTCTTTTTATTCTTTGCTTCTGTAACAATAACACTCCGAGTGACATGTACAGAGATTGTCTAGAAATTAACATCTTGTTTGCTGTAATCTTGGATTACAATTAACTGTGTACATAATAAAATTAAGAAATCAATGAGCAGATTTATCATCTCCATATAACCAACGGCACTGTGTAGAAGACAGTTTAACATACACGACTCACATTTTAAATGCAGGAGAATCAGAATAGCAGCCAATGAAAGTGTGGCTAAACCATTATTGGACTTTATACTAAATAGACTTCTTTGACTATTATAAAACACTCCAGGTCATATTTTATTTAATATTTTTCAAAGCTTACATAATTTCTATTCAGAATTTTCAGATTACTTACAGTTAGTTCATTGATTTTTCCCAGCTAACAGAAACCCCTTTATTGCATACTTTCCTCCTAACCAAACACCTTTCCTCTTACAATGTAACACCATAGCTTGCATCATGTTTTTCCCTAAGAGTTAGTGTGGAGTTATTACTTAACAAAACAAACAAACAACAAGAAAAACTGACTAGGCTTTGAAATATTTGTGTCACAACTGTCATTTGTATGAAATTTAAGTATATTTTAAAACTTCCACAAGAAATCAATGCTGCATGCACTAGATGAGTGAAAGGTGTCCGTCATGTTCATTGGGAAAGATTCTTCCAGTATCAAATACGCAACTTTATAAGTATAAAATATTTTAAATCATCTAATTATAATCACCTGAGGATTCCAAACATCTAAAGCAAAATAAGGAACAATTTTCGAAAGAGTTTTCCTTTCAGGGGTCAGGCAGAACTTGACTCTATTTCTAGCCATTTTCTTCTCCAAAAGATGCACTGAATTGAGTCTGGCAAATTCAAAAGAGTTTGGGTGATACTCTGGAGGACAAGATTATTTTTCCATATTACCTCTACCAGGTACTGACAGCTTGTCTCCAACAAGTGCTCCTTCCTCTACCAATCTCAGCTAAAAAGGAGCTTAATCCTGTAAGTACAAATTCTCATAATGCAGCCCTTCAAACAGAGGCATACAGGTAGAGACTACCTATATGAGAACAAGCAATTTTTCAAAATAGATTTCAAATAGTTCTCACTAGTTCTTTTTACCTTTGGGAGGCAACTCCCAACAATTCCACAACCCTGTATAAAATGCTTTATCAACGGTCAGATGCGTTCCAGGGGTTCTACCTTCCTCTGCAACTCTATATACTTGCCTTGGCTGAACAGGGAAAATCCAAACAGCTGAGCAAGGGCATGGTCATACATGGCAAGTTTGAGCCTCTGAGGGGTGCTGAAACATTCTCGTAACATTTTTCTGAAACAATGTCAAAGCTAGGTCATCTGTGCCAAGGGTGTAGACAGACAGCACAGTCGCTTTGCTGGCGATTGACAAAAATATACTGTGTCCATGCCAAAAGTGTCAAACAACTATACACCAAGCTACATGCATCTAACCTAGATTTCAAAAAGTTCACTTTCTTAAGATATGAATAGACATGTACAGTAAACATTTTAAATGAATATTAGTTAACTAAGACAAAGAATTTAAGTCCTGTTTTCACATCAGGCACTTAAAGCCCATGACCCTACAGAGAATAAAGTTGTCCATGGGCCACATGTGCTGAACAAGTAAAGAGGCTGTTCACTTAAACTATTAAAACCATAATCACACAATACGAGATGTTAAAATAAATAGTAAATCAGAGCTATTATTAAACATTTGAAAAATACAAATGCAAAACACAAAGCCAATTTTAGGACTGTCAGAAAATATAACAATATTAAAAAAAAATCACTATGTTCTTCATCAATACTTCTCAGTTAAGAGCACAATCTTCCAATGAAATGTCTTATGCATCCTCTGCATAACAGAACGAGTTAAAAAACAGGTGAAAAAGAATACACATTCAGGCAGAAGTGACTCAAGCATTCAGATTCTTCAGCTTACCTGAACAGATGAAAACGCAAAGTGAGTACTTGTTACTGCTAGTACAAAAATTTGACAGCTTTCCCAAACTGCTGTATTTTTAAGCTTTAAAATATATGTACATGGACTCAATTACTTGCTTATTTTTCACAACACAAGTTACACTGCACTTAAAAAATATATTTTAATCAGTACTTTATCTCATTGCTGCAAAATTTTATGAGTTTTTTTTTCCTGAGGTATAATATATATAAAACATAAGTTCCGTAAGTTCTCCTCCACTCTCAGATACAAGTATTAAGAAACAAAAAACTTTCCAAACATCAATAGATGAGTGCAATGATATTCAGTCTAAGTTAATCCCCAGACATCCAAATCCATGAATAAAAATTCATCAGTTTTAAATACACTGAGCCTATTAAGCAAGAACAAAAGCATATGCACAAAAGAGCTTTTAATATATTTCAAAGCCCACAAGAGCCATGGTCTCATTAAAATTATAAATTACACAAACATGGAATGAAGATTCAAACTGCAGTGCAGCTAAGCAGATTACAGAAAACCCCGCGTTCCATATGATAACACACCACGGCCCTCCCAGATGGGGGCCTGGAACAAAAAGGCCATCACTGCAGCTAGGGAAAACCTCCTTGTGATCTCTGGTTTCTGTTCAGCAGATGACAGCCAAATAATATGTTGATTATTCTGTTTGTGCTGCTAAGCTTGTAAGATGGAATAAAAGCGATATGATCTGTTGTGAACTCAATGCTAATGTGTTGCTCCACTTACAAATAACATACTGAATTTATTCTGAAACTATCTTCTTATCTGAGTTCCAGGTTTTAAATGCATGAACTAAAATAAAAAGCCAGCATAAACCATTATTTAATTTGAAGATTTTAAGTAAAGGATGCAGCTTGATACAATAAGTGAAAAACAACTGATTACTTAGTAAATCAAATAAAGTAGAGATACCTTTCTCCAATTTAGCAAATGATTACATGCTAAGGTACTGAGTACCTGCAATACACTTGAGCACACTCCAGTCCCACAACCTGCATTATGACAGACACCAAACAGATTACCAAATAAGGCCCATATGGCTTATCTTACCATAGATAATTGCCCCAAATCCAAAATTTCAAATGAGGGCACAAATACTGTTAAAACAGACAACAGCCCAGCAACAATCACTGTATAACTCCACTAATTTGAAGTCTCTCTGACTGAATAACCGTCTGAAAAACTACTGATCTTACAAATAGCACCAACTCTATATAAGAGGGGCAGCCCAAGAGGTCAATTCTAGGTATATGAATTAGAAGCCAAGGCTTTCACACAGCTCTGATTTATTGTCCAAAGATTCCATTTACTTATATGAAAGACTTGGACTTCTAAGTCAGATAACTAAGAAAGGTGACATAAATTAGCTTATGTGAATATACTACTCCTCTCTGCTCCCTGCCAATTCCAACCCTTTGTGTGATACTCAAATATGCTTAAAAACAGTTTATAAGTTTTTAACAAGTGATCAGACTTCATTTCAAAGTTTACTTACTTGGCTTGTTCCAGAAGTGCACAATTTGGCTTACTCTTTACTGAACTTTCAAAAGAAAACCAGTGGCTGCTTGTACAATTTTCACAAATACTGTGTGGAAGCCAGGCAGATTGCCTTTAGTATCAAGAGAATTTTTAAATGTATCTGGTATAAAAGACTTAAAATATGCTACCCAGAAAGAACATTGCTAGAAATCATGCAATTCAGGCAGTTTCTTACGCATTTATCTTTTTATAACCAAAGAATATTTTTTCATATACTTATGAAATTTATATATTAAAAAGGTTTCAGCAACAAACACATAAAACACACTGCTCCAGCTATAGTCACAGCAGTAAAGTCTAAGCTAGCAAAAGCTAACTTAGGTCTACACAAACTTCAGCACATCACTGAGTGGATAACACCCAGTGAAGGTGATCGCAAAACACAGAAGCACTAGGAAGGCTAGCTTGCTTAGATACCTTTACTGCTAGATACATGCTCCTGAAAATGGATTTCAGCAACTACGGCAGCTTTGGAATGGAACTGGCCGCCTCAAAACAGGAGCTCAAAGAAGCTGAATCCAAGGAGGTAAAGAATAGTGAACATTTTCTAAAATAAAGTTTAGCTATAAAAAAAAGCAAGATGTCCAGTGTTTTGTGCTTTCTTCATCACAACGTTATTCCAAAGTTGGAACAATATAACTTCTGTTAAGTAGCCAGTAATGGATTTTTTTTTAATTTTGAAAATGAGTTTTACTTTTACTTGTTTGTTTTACCTAACTTTGTAACTCACCAAAACTCAAACTGAAAAAAAATAAATAAATAAGATTTTAATTCTTGTCTAAAGTCCAAAATGCCTTTCCATTTTCTTCATACATATCTTACTGACCTAAGTAGTTTACCATTCTAAACAAGTTCTTGTAATAGTCACCTCTTTCAAAAGAGGAGGCGAGATTTCTATCTTTGTAGTCAGAGAAGACACAGTTACACTGATCTACAGAGAAAGAGGTTTTATTATTTTTTACAGTACTACATATTTGTTCACATGTTTCGAAGCGCAGTGCCAAAATTCCAATGCTACCCACTTCTAAGAAATCAGGCAAAAATGAGAATAACTGATCACCAGCTAGGTCAAAGTTTTATCAATTAAACTGCTCCACAACAACAAGGGTTTATCACCAACTTTCTGGTTAGATGTCCATCATACGCGCCTGCACGTTCCTATGGCTCAACACTATCCTGTCTCCAGTGAAACCTGAGGCACTGTATTCTGTCTTGAAGCAGCTGACCAACATCACTGCTTGGGAAACCCAGAACTAGCATAGCACTGAGCTTGGGTAGTAACTGTTTTGCTATTCACAGCGCTAAATAAATCGTAATATCTAGCTCCTTAAAACACACCTGTATGCATTTCAGTTCAACTACTGCTCTTTTGCATGTCATTACCAGACTGAAAATTTGATCAGCTCATTAATTTAAGACAGAATAGCTAATGGGGGGGGGGGGGAGACCCACACTGCTTGTTAGGTGATTGTACATCATCTCAGGTTACTTCCACACTGGCAGTGGCTGAACAACCAAGCTAGCATTAATTTACCTGCTTAAGATATCTAACGAAGCCACAGTCATCAGCATACAAACGTACTTGCTCAGTACACTGGAAAGCTGGGTTTGCGAGTCTGTGGGGCTCCCCAAGAAACTACATTCTTACATGTAAGTGCATTGGCAAAGGATTCCTGTCTTTGAAAATAAAAACTAGATTGCAATTAACTGTCAGTTAATTGTTCTACTCCAGCATAAGAACTTTCTGAATCTCATCTAGCATGCCTTTCCTTACTTCAATGGACATCAGAGCCCGTTGTCAAAAGTAAATCTGAAAAACAATGTCTGCAGTACAGATTCCAGATTTCAGCATAGTAGTAGCTAACTGTAAGCATACGACTAGTTAACAATAACATTTCCTTTATATAAGGGAGAAGGTCAGACAGGAGGGGCAGTGCAACCAAACGACTTAGCAACCCAGATTTTGTTTATTTTTAAATTCGGACCCTATTGCAGAATCCCCTCTTCTTGAAACGTGCTGTTTGCTCTTGGGTAACATTAGAAGAGAAGGAAAATTCTCCAGCATGAAAAATCTTCAGAAAAATATTTCAGCGTTCAGAGAGGAGCTACAATTTTAAAAGAATTCTGAAGGTAGTCAGTTAAACGCTTTCCGGACTTGAGTAGGCCTTAAGTGCTTTCCCAAAGAACTTGGCAGGATTCAGGTTTCATGATGTCCCAGAGATGACGGGCAAAAAAAGCTAAATCAAAAAAGAACACTTTCTATAAAATCCTACAACATAGATGAGGAGCAAACATTGCCTGCATTCCAGCACTCGCTGATACTGATTTTTAATAGAAATAATAAATTATTTGGAATAATGCCCTTAAAGCCTAAAAACCCTAGCAACTTAGCATACAACATTACATTTTCAAATACAAAATGTGCCAATTCTTAGCTTTTGTAATAAGAACATATTAGGAAAACCGCTATAGCAACTATAAATTAATTTCACTGATTGTCACACAGTTGGTATTTTTTTTTAAACATATATTCAGGGAATCTGAGGATCTAAAAAGACAAGTACTTTGTCGTTTAGCATAAACTCCACTAAAATAGAAAAAATAGAAAAAAGCACCTCAACTATTAAATTTTTATTCCCATAAATTGTGTAATGACCTACATCATTTGCCTGTCTTTAAAAACACCTATTTAAACCAAACATGCAATCACATGCAACTGCAAACTAGAAACAAAGACTTCAAAATATCAATGCATTTAAACTACGTTTTTCCGATCAATGCACAAAATGTATTCTTCACATTTTCCAGAGACATGCTGAAAAAACAAACTGGTTTAATCTTGGATTAAAAAAAATCTGTTTTAATCTAATTTCCATTTATGGATGTTAAGCATTTAAGAAAGGTAGTACCAATCTTTCTTAACTTCTAGATTTCAATCCTGAAGTAAGCTTTATATGGAAGTGGAACCCAGTATGGTAAACTTTACGGTATACCAAGAGCCACAATACAAATAATATTTATTTTCCAGTTGGTTATTATTTTCCTTGATTTTACTTCTCTTAAACATTTGTTAATTTAAAAATAGTTGTATCATAAAAAAGGTAGTCTCATTTAGTTAAAACAATATAAAATAGTTTCTATGAAATATATCACTAATTTGTATGATGCTTATTAAGGTAGTACATCCAATTTACAACCCATTGTTAATTATATTATTCTGCAAGCTTCAGTAATAACATACTGTTAATTCTTATAATCTGAAATTACAGAAACATTATATATCTGAATAGGAGTTACAATGGTCATTTCAGTAATACTTTATCAACTACATTTATTAAACCAGTGGTCATCTTTTATAATCCTCAGCATATGGCACAGAGTCAAATAGATTGTTTTAATTCATTTCCCCCAATGTATTTACTTTTACTTTAAGAGAATCGTTTAAATCTGACACAGGTTCAGATTGTTATCACTGTTGTTCAGTATTCACACTGACAAGCATTTTGTTATCATCCAGAGGCTTTCTAAAGAAAATCCTACCATATTTTTTATAATATCATACAATTGGTATGTCTTAAATCTCTCCCACTAATCCTAGCATTTTCCATGAAACGAGTGGTTAAGGAGTTTTTAAGGTTTTTTTTTTTGTTTGTTTGTTTGTTTTTTAAAAACACTGAAAACTCCCCAGATCTTTCAGTGTCAGAACTTCCAGGATTAAGCATTCTTTTCAGTTGGTGGCTCATGGGCTGAAGATCCTACACTTTCAAACTTATTCCATTCTGGCTAGTTCAAAGACCGGGAAAATGAAGCCATCTTCTTTGCAGTCATAATCCATGACTCATGCTGTTAGATGCTTAAGAACATCTCAAAAGCAAACTACCTTGTTTCAGTTCACAGCATGAACTCAGCAGGGCACTGAATCACATGACTACTAGCCCTACCTAGTCAGGTGACTCGAAAGCTAATCTGATTTGCTGACTATAAAACTTTAATCAGTACAGTCTAATACCATCACATTCCAGAACTGATGAGGGAAGCAGCTTTGGGATATAACAAACACTAATAAGATTATGAATTAGAACTTATATTAGAATGCAGTTTTCTATCTCATATGTAAACCAAACAAAAAAAATTAGCAAAAACTGATGAGGCAGACATACAGCTTTAAAGGAAGATGAAGAAATGTATTTTATTCTAGAACTGATAGCATTTTGCTCATTGCCACAGAGGGATGACAACATATACTGAATCTTATAAGGCACAATTGAAATGTAGCACAAACATTAATTTGAAATCAGGGCAAATAAAAAAAACGTACATCAATAACATAACTCTCAGCCCTCGTTGAGAAACACCGTTTAATGAATAGAGCCTCTGCTTGCATTAACTAAAGTTCCTAAGAGTTTAAAACTGTAATTCCACGTAGCGTGCATTCCAGTAAATGAAGTAAAAAGGTAGACAAACATGGCAGGTGTTTCCAATATCGAACATAAACCCTCGTACCAAGCACAGAATATCTGAAACATACTTTAAGGATTGCTGCTATTTTGGGGATACTAAGATCGCCCTCAAATCTGTAGACTACAGTTTTTAAAGAACAATGACAAATATACTTGCAGATCAAATTCCAAACATACCTTTTACCAAATGTTTTGATTGTTCTCTCACTCATCCATTGTATTCCCTCTATTTTTTCCTTAGGGAATTCTCACCCCAAATCCTCTTAATCCAGCTTAGAATCTGCATTTGACATAGGCAAGTTGTTGAATTGGATCAACAAGTTCATAAGAAATGGAAAATAGAAAGTTTAATTTCTTCATACCATAATTAAGATTTGTCGTTAAAATTTACATTAACAGTTTATCGGGTCTGTATGATATACACAAGCAGTGAGAAAGCAAGTTGGTTATTCTATAGTTCAGCATATTCTGATCCAGATACAAAGGTTTAAACTACTACTATATTTTGCAATTACAATGAGCTGTGTTAGTTACCATAGCCCAGCTGACAAGAAATAACTTGTTAAGATATTATTTCCTTATCACTTGCAACCATCTCCATGTTCTTCAGTTTCTCTACATTTCAGTTTCAGCTGCACTACATTTCAATATCATCTGTAAAGCAGCAACAATAGGACTTATCTACCTGCAAATGTATACTTGAGGATATTATTATTATTATATAATAATATCTAGACTTGCAATTTCTGCAGTCTTGCTTTTTTGATCTGTCAGCCCCTAATGGAATCTCTTACAACTGCTGGAAATTCATCTTTTGGAAAGTGGACATGTGAACAGAGGAAAACTTTTGGTATAAATCAAGGAGAGTGAAAAGGCTGGTTATTATTCCTGAAAAACAAACCACCATCGACTTAAAAATAACAAAAATTCCAGATAGTCACTTTCTTCTGTATTTGTCTGAAATGAAACACAAGTCAAGTCAGATGCCATAAATCTTATAAGCACTTATTAGTCTGTCAAGCTGCATCATAATAAATAAAAAAATTAAAGCTGTGGAAAATGGCTTCTTTCCACTTGCTTTCTAAATCAGCAATACTTTAACTGTACCTATCACCTTAAAAGAGACAGAAGAGAAGTTAATATTACAAGAACAACCACAGTAATAATTTCTAAAGTTCAGTTCTCATATTGAAGAACTATTTTTATTTCTCCACAACTTTTCTAGCAATATCAGAAACAATCTCTGCTGTTGTAATACACATGAGCAACATTTTATTTCAAAGGATGTCAACAATGAAAATATCACTTCACATAAAATCGCATGAAATTCTGAAATAGCTGTGAGGTTCACAGGGGGAGTGAATTAACTACTCACAGCCAGCAAAAGGTGAAAGATTCCATCTACCCTCCACACTGTCCATATATACCATTTTCCATGTTGAAGACACTCAGTGATATCACAGAAAAAAAAAAAAAATCAACCTATCAAGAAAGTAGATAATTCCTAGTCAGATTAGTGAGCTGAAACAGCTCCAGAAAGGATCCAACGAGCACGAAGGTTTGCGGAATTGCATCTATGGAAGCAGCAAAGGAAGAGGAAACGAGACTCTCTCTTTCACCAGCACTGACCTATTACATCAGCTCATGAAATACCAAGCTTTCCAGTTATCTTCAACTGAAGTTAGCTGCATTTTATGCAAGAAATTCTACAAACGGGGCACAGCACAAGTACTCCCAATACCAAAATACTTTCAGAATTTATGTTCCAAAACACAAAGAAGTTACGATCATCATCTAGTTTTAACTGCCTTGTAGTAAAATAAGATCAGAGTAGGAAAGGAAAGAGCATCAAAACTACTCGTTAGATAAGTAGACATAGTAAGCGGGAGGAATCCTGGGAGAATATTTAAAACAACTATTCTTTAAAGTTCATGCTATCTAAATTAGTTTTATTTAAAAACAAGCAAGGAAATACTGTGTCTTACTGAAGTACCCAAAGGAAGGGTGCTGCTTGGAGAGGTGGGAAAGAGAGGGTGGGGACACCGAGAGAATGTGAATGTAGTATAACACCATTTTTTTTTCTGATATGTAAGTGTTGACCAACTCATGAGATACCCTCTTTGATTTACAAGTGCTCTACAGAACTGTTCTACAGCAGTTAGACTGCAAATTTTAATAGAGAGTTACACCTGCAAGCACTCATATTTGAAATATTTAGGTGTCTGGAATCCTCAACCACAATACAGTAAGAAACCCGAGAGGCTGATGTGATGTTTTAAGAGGTAGAAACACTTGTAAGTTTAAGCATCCTCAGTCAATTATATAGCTTTTACACTTCAGGATTCCACTAAAAAACAGATCCTCATGAA